GCCTCGGGCGGGCGCGGCGGCTCGTCGGGGGGGCGGGACAGCGACAGCCCGGCCGCGGCGGCGCAGTGGGAGTGGGACGGCGAGGAGGTCGAGGGCGGCGACGGCGAGGTGCAGAGCAACTACAAGGGGCCCTTCGACACCATGGACGCGCTCAACGAGGCCCTGCCCTTCAGGTGAGCGCCCCCCTCCCCCGCTTCCCCGCTTCCCCCCTCCCCCTCCCCCAGCCTCGCCACGGAGCGCGGATCTTGGGCCTCGGTCGGCGCCGGGCGTTTCTCGGCGGCCCCGCCGGGCGATTCGGGGGTAATGTGGGCGGACGCGGCCGTTCTTGGTCCCGCCCCGCGTGTTCCCCGTGCGGAAATGCTGCAGGTTTCCTCGGCCGTCCGGACCGACGCGACGGTTCTTGATCGGTTTTATTAGCCGGGGAATGCGCGTTAGGTTCTCATTAGTTCCCCATCTCTTCTTGGGTGGGCGGTCTTGAAGTGATTTCAGCGAGGTAATTTAGTTCCCGATCCTCGGGCCCGTGCTTCTGTTAGCGAATTTGGGGATTTCCTTGTCGGTCTTGGGGTGAACAGGTGGATAATCTGAGCTCGTTTAGCGTTCTGGGTGGTTCTTGGTGGTGGTGCCTTGGCCCTTTGCAGCCAATGTGGTTGGGGAGAGATTAGGCTCTGACATTGTAGGTGGTGTTCATTACGACCAACGGCGCCGCACCGTGTGTGCTCTTCGGTCCTTGAACTAGTACATAGTTTCACCGGCATTAATGCCTTTAATTGAACTACTAATTTGTGAATGCTGAGTTTCCTTTGACTTGTCAAGTTGGGACAGTTTGAGATGCAAAGGTTTCAGTGAATAGACTGGATGTTTTGTGTGTAGTAGTGGTTTGGTGCTTATTGCTTTGGATACCTTTTGTGTATGCTTTGGTGATACTTGTCTTAGGAGTGCTGACACTGCTTTTATCTAATTATAAGTTCTTGGTGTCTTCCTTTTAATCTTAGAATGGCACAGTCATATGTGTTTGTCCAAACTCTACAGAAAGATTGAATCTCCAGTTCTTCATGGTTCATGGCTGTTCATTGTGTATTTAATTGGCTGTAGCATATAAGTGGCAGTACTGCTGAAGTTGAATAGTGTTACCAGGTTCTGTGTGGTAGGCTGGACTGGTTAGTGACACTGCCTAGTGTTATGTTCTGTCCCATTAGTAGTTTGCTGGAAAGCTGTGGTAATTATGCTTATGTGACGTGACATCATACACATCGTGCTCTTGCGGAATTACGATTGTTTTGTGTCGTCAAAATGGATGCTCCCTTTAGTAATGAAATTTGTTCTGTTAGTAAGACAATCCTGTCCATGCATTCAACTTGCCAAAAGTAATGCACCATCCATTCTGCATGTTTATTCATAAAACCACTACGATCAATTAGATGAAAAGGTCAATAATATTGGTTTTCGGAAACCCCGCAGCATTAGTTATTGATACTTACAAATGGTAGACACAGCTCTCTGATACAGTGATGTCGGTGGTTGCTATACTTTCAATTAACCATCTGAATATGAATCATTCCTCTGTTTGTGTATACATAAACCTGAATGCAGTCATTTATCTTACCAGGATGTTTATCATATTTTTACTCTTAAATTTATGAGAGCAAAGAATGGGCGCGCTAACTTTTCACATGTAATCTAGGGACCAGCCTTAGTTTCTCTTCAATTTTCTACAGTACTATGATCTTGGTACGCTTTTTTACTAGTTTAATGGTACTTGTTGGCTCTTGCCATCAGCAAATGTGCGTAGATGCTGTAGGATCAAGGTGGTGATCAAGTCATGTGCAAACAGGGCGCAATTCGATGTATCTTAACACAGTAACGCGATCATTAAACATATAGCACGATCTTCTTTCACATGCTTTTGTCAGGTAGCTCATTGTATATGTTAAATATTTGTGGAACTGTGTCATTAAAATACTCAGTGATTTGTCTATGTAGTTGATCTGGCAACTTAATTTTGTCTTTTTGTTACCCGTGAGCAGCCTGGAGATTGTTCTTGTCTATAAATTCTTGCACTTATCAGATAATATCTTAGTCGAGAGACTTTATGCTTCATGATATTTACAGATCTTCCACTTTGCTGAGCAATCTTCTTCTGTATGGCAGGAAAGGGGTATCCAAGTTCTACAATGGCAAGTCCGGATCTTTCGCAAAGCCTCCAGTTGCTGTGATCCCATCTCCCCCACCGGTGAAGGGCCTTCCGAAGCCAGAAACCCCATCCCCCAGGAAGCGCAAAGGTCTTCTCCCGTTCAGTTTCAAGTGGGGCAAAGCACAGAGCAAAGAGGTGTACCCTGAAGATGATGTAGCGGACAGCCCCACGACTTGCAGGAGGATGACATTGTCTCCGGCCGCCACAAGCAGCTCAGGTAGCAACAGCGGCAGCGATGATGAAGCTCAGAAGCTGCCTTCCCGGCGCTCGCACAGGAAGCCTGGCAACGCCATGGGTGCCTATGCTTCCCCACCTGCTCCTCGTCCACCGAAGCTGCTGTTCCCGGCCCACACGAGATCGCAATCGATGCTTGAGCTGCAGGACGTGTCGGAGTCGACCGCCATGGTCTCCCCCAGGGACAAGCGCAGGAAGAACTAGCGAAGGCACCGGGCCACCTGGGCGTCGCTCTGTCAGTCCTCCTCCAGCCACTGGCGTCCATTTTAGACTGCGGAATCCAGTGGGCGACGAATGGTGCCCTGATGCTCGCGGTGCGCGGGCGATGATGCTTTTTGGCGAGGTCAAATGGACCCGAATGTTGATAGAGATCTGGAAGCGTTCTCTTTCCTTTTTTCTATAGCTGTTGCTGGACACATACAAATGAACATCTGAGAAACTGGTGCCGAGTAGCAGTCCTCAGCGGGCTCTCATGTATTGCTTGCTGTCTTGAGCTGTAAATGCTGGATTTGTGCTCTTGTGGACTGACTATTACTAATTCAATCATGTTGCCCTCACTCGCTGTTACCCTCTCCGTCCTTGAATCTATATGTGTGGCACTGTCGTTTTTCGTTTTCGTTGCTGGCCTCTGCTGCAAACAAACTTTGTTTGAGCTGGCGGAAATGCCGAAAAGAAGACGACATGAAGTTGAGAAGATGAAGCTGAATCAAGGGCAAAGGACTGGCTGAAATGGTTTCACAGGACTGGCTGGAACTGAATTTTCAGTTCAGGCTCATCAATTCCATTTGGCCCAGGCAGGCTCTACAGAAACCTCAGGTGCTTCCTATTTGGGCTAAACAGTGTGCTCCGCTAACGTCATTTTCAAAAGAAAATTCCTTGGTTGATCAACAACATTCCACTGCTCCTTGGTTGTCGCTGGCATTAGCTCGGTAAGAGCTTGATTTCTTCAGCATTGGCATGAACAGTTGGATCTGCTTTGAATAGTTTCTCAGATTTGGACATTGATATGCCCTGCATTTCTAGTGTTGGTACCCAGAATTGTGTTTATAAGTGGTGGTACATTTTAGCTTTATGGAAGTTATTTGGCCTTCAGAAACCAGGTTGTGCGTAAACTGTCGGCAGATCATGGAAGCTTGTTATTTGCAGCTTGCCATTAGTTGCAGTTGAACGATGAGTTTATACAGAAATAAAGTTGTTTGTCCGAACGGTATTTGCTTCTCAGGGAGGATGCTGGTTGGTGTCAAATGGATCTGATAATTTTGGAAGTTTAGTGGTACCTGTGTGCAGTTAGGTAGAAGTACCCTTCATTAGGTAATAATTCCTTTTGGGAAATATTGTGGCATATTGTGTATGTCTAGTATTGGATTTATATGTTCTCTTTTCATATCAAATCACATCAAAAGTAACTTAATAAGTGCATATTATCTTTGGTATATCGATCCTTTTTAAGTTAAACGTACAAAACCATGTTCACAACAAGCAATACTCATATTTACACCAGGATCATTCATTTGTTTTCACTTAGCATCCAGCTCAAGAGGGGTCAGTTAAATTGTTGATCGTCTGCGTTACTTGCTTTAACTACTTCAAGACCAACGCAGAAGGCCAAACTTTTGTGGCACTTATGTAATTCTCATTTCTATAGATAAATATATTCTGCAATGGAACTTCTAAAGATTAAAAAAAAAGTCCAGCTAGTTCTTAATCTAGACATAAACCTACAAGAGAAATCATGCAACTACTCCACGACGCATTCCTTGGGGAGCCCCGACCACCTGTACCGCTGGACGTCCTTGCAGTAGTCGTAGATCATGTGGGCGTCGCGCGCCCGCCGCAGCGCCGCCGCGTCGAGGCCCCGGTCGAACCACGTCGACCCCGGCGGCTCGTCGCCGCACCACGCCACCCCCGGCGGCGGCCGGCACCAGGACACGCGGAGGTTGCGGTAGTGGGCGAAGAATGGCGCCTCCGACCAGTCTGTCTTGACGCGGCCCCCCTGCGTCGCCCAGTCGTCGGCGTTCCAGAGGCTCCCGTGCAGCCGCATCTTCTGCCACGTCGGGAACGGCACCCCGTGCTCCTCCTTGTTCCTGAAGCTCCGGATCGGCACGCCGTCCACCAGGATCGTGATGCGCTTGGGGTTCCAGTCGATGGAGTAGGTGTGGAAGCCGGCGGCGGGGTCGAACCAGAGGCGGAACTGCTCCTCGCGGTTGCCCACGCCGTTGGCGAAGATGTTGGTGTGGAGCGTGTAGGGCTCGCCGGTGACGTTGCCCAGGAACTCCAGGTCCACCTCGTCGTGGTAATCCCACGGCACGTCCTCCGGCATCAGCTGCACGCGCCGATCACATTCTTAATATTTCGCCGCCAATGGATAAACGCGGGGCACGGTGACCGCGCCCTGACATGGCGTATTGGCGTGGCGGCGGACGGAGATCGATCGACGGACTTACGTATAGCGTGGTGACCGTGCCGGCGGAGTTGTCGGGGACGAGCATGAGGTCGACGTCGAAGCGGGCGTAGAGGTACGCCTCCTTGGAGTGGAACCCCGAGCCGTGGGTCTGGTCGAGGCAGAGCGCGAGGATCTCGTCGTCGCCGGCGTCGTCCATGTAGAAGAAGCTGTGGTCGTCGCCCCACACGATCTCGATGTCGTCGTACATGTACGCCATGGCCATCTGATCCACGACCACCACCACCAACATGGCCACCAACACCATGGAATGCCAACAAGAAGAAGACGGCAACGACGACGCCATAGCTGGCTAACTAATTGACACGATCTCTCCCTTCCTTCCTTCTTCTTCTACCTCCTCCCGTGCCCTCCATACGATCAAGATTTGAGTTTATAACGCGCATGCGGAAGATGTAGAGATGATGAAACGGGGAAGGGGTCGATTAATTGGAGGAACGTGCCATGTTCTTGAGAATGTTTCTGCCAGGGGCATGGCATGTTAGGATCCATGGAATGTTAGGTTGGCTCGCTCAATTTGCAATATTTGGGGCTTGTTATTGGATGATAACACGGCCTCGTGCATACTTACCAGGGAGCTTCATTATTTCCATGGCCTCCCGCTGGCCTCGCTACCTACCTAACCTACCTTCATGCCACCTGCGTAACCTACCTTCCAATGCGCCATGCTGCCCATGCACAGATGCACGAGCGGGGGGGTTGCCTGGTCAACTAAAAATGCGCTCTTATTTTTCTTTCCATCGCCCAGCACGACGCAACGTTCAGTCAAAATCAAACGGCAGTGTAGCAGTGTTGACCCGACCAGGCCCGATCGAACGGCAAGCAATGGCGCGAAATCGAGGGACGCTCGGGAGGGAGGGTCGCCCAGCCACCTTATAGGTTAGAATACGGTGTGCCACTCGATCGCGCTAGGCAGGCTGACTGTGTCGTCGCATCACCAGACAGAGGGAGGTGCTGCAGAAGACATTGTCATTGACATCAACATCGAGCAGGGGGGCGGATCGGCCGGCTCCAGCGCCAGCGCCTCTCTCAGACAGTACCATGCTCATCCTCCATGAAGATGACAAGGACGGCCAGCTGCTGGACAAGCAAAAGAAGTGGATAAAAGATATGCATGGGTGACTTATGTTGTCGGCGTCGACGCTGGCGTACCAACCAGTGATGACTCTCCCGGGCGGATTCTGGCAGGATGACAATGACTCGCCACATGGGCACGACACAGGCAGGGCCGGCCCTAACATTACGAAGGTACTAGTGCGATTGAGGCACAATGAACGTTAACAGAGTAACATATATACTATTAACAATATATATCGTATATCATAAAAAATACAAAGGCATAAACATAAAATAATAATAATTTTAGTTGGCAAATAAAGTCTCAATACATCGTCGGTATGTAATTATATGATGCAAATAATGATTATAATGTACTCAACTATAACTATTGAAT